GGTCAAAACAGACACTACAACTAATACGCTTAAAACAACTAGCGATCTAATTAAGATATACTCCGAAAAATTGAATCTCGACGTTAATTCGATAATACCTTCATGTGCCAAACCACCGAAGTTTTATGGGTTACCAAAGATACACAAACCGAATGCTCCATTACGTCCTATAGTGAGTCAGATTGATTCGCCAACTTACAGATTGGCTCAATACTTAGCTAAAATATTATCACCACTCAGAGGACACACAAGAGCACACACTAAGGATTCATACCATTTTGTCAGTGAGATAAAAGACCTACATCTTACTGACAATGAAACCATGGTCAGTTTTGATGTCCAGTCTCTATTTACATGCCTACCTGTTGAAGACTGCATCTCAATTATAACTAGGAAACTAGAGGAAAATAACATGCCAGCAGAATATGCAGTATTACTAAGACATTGCCTTACATCTGGCTATCTATTGTGGAAGGAAGAGTTTTACAAGCAAGTAGATGGTGTTGCGATGGGCTCACCTGTATCTCCCATTGTCGCCGATATATTCATGGAAGACTTTGAGGAGAAAGCCCTCCTTACTGCACCTGTTACACCAAGGATCTACAAGCGGTACGTAGACGATACTTTCACAATTTTACCATCAGACAAAGTAACTGCATTTTTAGAACATCTTAATTCCATAAACTCTAAAATTCAATTTGCACACACTGTGTATAGGAAAAAGACCCATACAAACCGATATTTAAACGGTGAATCTCACCACCATCCTTCACAGTTAGCTACCGTGGGCAAATCTTTGTTACAGAGAGCACGGGGGATTTGCGACAGCAAACACCTGGCCGCCGAGCTTCAGCACGTCAAGCAAGTTCTGCACGACAACAAGCTTCGGGTCCCGCACTTACTTCACAGTGACCGAGTGAAGCCGGCCACAGTTTAGCGTGTGCCTGCTGTACTACCATATGTCAGAGGTGTCACAGACAAGATTGGCTACATCTTGAAGCGAGCTTCTATTAAAACATTCTACAAGCCGCCGAAGAAGATTAGTCAGTTCCTACCATCAGTCAAGTGTCATATTCCTCTACAAGATGCAGGAGTGTACAAGCTTGATTGTGAATGTGGTCTCTCTTATATAGGACAAACAAAAAGATCAATTAGAACCTGCGTAAAAGAACATATAGCTGATGTGAAGCATCAACGTTCCGGGAAGTCTGCAATTTGCGATCATATCCTAGACGGCCCCAACCATTACATCAGATTTGATAGACCACAAATCCTCGCGAAAGAACACCGATTCCTACCAAGGATGATACGCGAGGCTATTGAAATTAAAAAACATCCTAATTTCAATAGAAAAGGAGGCTGGGTACTACCACCTGCTTCGGATCCTATAATCAATAAAATTAAAACTAAACCCAAGCATACCACTGCAAGACCTCAGGACATAGTCAGTTCATTTTGCATAGATCGGACCATAAACAATAATTAAAAAAGCTGAAGGTACTCCGGGTTTAACAATGACATCGGGATATCAGTCATCTCAGTCCCCCGTGACCATGGGTGCTGGAAAGTGCCCGAAACGTCGGGAATTAAAAATAAAAGTAAATAAAAAGTAAAAATAAACGCGATAAAATCTGTAAAAGTAGTTTTAATCATGTATAAATGTATACTTTAAAATGTTAGGGAATTTCCTGTTTTAACTTACAGCGACTTAATATTAATTGCTTGTGTCACATACCAATTAAAGCAAGCTCGCTACTATTATGGTGAGCATATAAGATTTAATGGTTGCTACCGGATAGAACTCTGTGATAACCAGAGGAGCAGCATTATGGAAGGAATAAACTTAAGCCCTAGCTGATCTTTACTTAGGGCTAGAATTGCAAGTCATCACCATTAGTCGTAAAGTGTATTTTATATATATTTTAATTAGTGGCAGTGGTTCTGGTAGAAGTGCAATTAAAAAGTACTGTCGGCCGTCGAACTGTTGGATGCTGTGCCCATGTTATGACAGTAATATGGTATTTGGGTTGGGCACGGCATCAGACTAATATTTTGCTTCCTGCTCAGTTCCTGAATGATGTATTGATGTGTAAATTAGAGGCAAATAATTCCTTAGCTTTTCTAGATGCGTTAGCCATCCAAAATTCTAACAACACCATAGGTCACACTGTGTATAGAAAACAATGAATTTCGCCATTATCCTTCACAGTTAGTTACCGTGAGCAAATCTTTGTTACAAAGAGCACAAGGGATCTATGGCAGCAAACATCGAGCCGTCGAGCTTCAGCACGTCAAGCAGGTTCTGCACGTCAACAAGCTTCAGGCCCGCGCTTACGTCACAGTGACCGAGTGAAGCCGGCCACAGTCAAGCATGTGCAGGCAGTACTAGCATTTGTCAGGGGTGTCACAGACAAGGTTGGCTACATCTTGAAGCGAGCTGACATGAAGCATAAAGGTTCAGGGAAGTTTACAGTTTGTGATCATATCCTGGACGGCCCCAACCAGATAGACGTATAAAAAAGATTTGATAGACCACAAATCCTCTAAAAGGTACCATCAATTCCTATCAAGGACCGATACCTGAGACTATTGAAATAAAAAAATGTTTCAATAGAGAAGGAGGCTTGGTACTACCACCTGCTTAAGACCCTGTAATTAATGAAATTAAAATTAAACCCAACCATGCCATTGCAAGACTTCAAGACACAGTAAGTTCATTCTGTAGATCGGACCATAAATAAAAATTAAAAATCTGAAGGTACTCGGTAACATAGGGACGTCAGTCACCTCAGTCCGCCGTAACCATGGGTGTTGGAAAGCACCCGAAACGCCTGGAATTAAAAATCAAAGAAATAAAACGCGATTAAATCGATAAAATAGGTGTTAAAAAAACTGCATTTGTGAAAATAAAAACTTATATATCTTCAAAACCCCGACTTTTTATAAAGCAATTCCTAAACCATTTCATTGTTTTAATTGCATATTATCATATCTATATGCTTTTATATGTGGGCACTGGGCACCAATGGCCGAAGTGTCTATGAAGAGTGGGCAATCCCCTTTGTTCGTTTATTTGCTCTGAATACTCGCAACCGTTACACCAATGTTACTTTGGTTTGGATGTCCGTGTATTTCGCGGGTCGATGTGATTCTTGCTTACTATTGTTCCGTTAAAATTACGGACATCTTTTCGTCACGTGATTGACATAATGTCAACGCCGCGCGTCGTGAGAAAGGGCACGTTTTTCGCTGCTCCCAAATATATGTTCTACCGCAAGTTCTTCCCCGAATTGGATCATCGTGAGTGACCGAAATCCGTGTAGTTGGGATCCCCGAAGAAGCACACGAGTGCAGGAGCATCCGCCTTCGTATATTCAGGTACGTCCGACCTTAGTAATATTGTCTAGTCAACGGTGTCGAGTAGAATCAGCCAGCGTCAATGCAAATTACAGTCCATTTCCCATTTTCCACTAAAAATGGTGGAAATTATATTTTCAGGAACAGTATTTGAGAGATAGAAACTCTAATGCATCTGCGGAATTTCTTAATAATGCCTTAACCTTTTAATGGGCACACGGTCCGATCCGACCAAGGCGATCTTCCGTCAAAATTCAAGCGTTTGGATCCAACCGCACCCACCCACAGCACGATAACCCATAAATACCTATATTTAGAGACTACTTTTCTAGTGAAGAAGTCAGGCATTATAGATTCTATACAAAGTTTTCTATCCTGTGGTGTAAACAAAGGTCAGTTCCTCTATGTATTTTCATTTTTATTCTTCTGTCAATTTACGACATATTAAACCATAAAGCACAGCACGTTAAAAAATAAAAACGTATATTTATATACTACCTTTCTATAAAGACGTTTGGCATTATAGAATCTATACAAAATTCTCTATCCTGTGGTATAAACAAATCGATTACTCTATGGATGTTTATTTTTAATATACCATAAAATTGCGCCATTTTCGTGTGGTCGGCAAATCCGGATTTAACGGACACATGCGACTGCATGGGAATTTTATGGGGATTGAAGGGTTAAATGACGAAACGAAAAACTATATTTCTATTTCCTTGATTATATATTACCATTCACAAATAAATTCAACACGATTTGTCTCTATTTTGAGCTGTTATATGAAGAGCCAGTATGTAAAAACTTTCTTCTTTCTTTCCCAATTCTTTCGTAAATTATTTACCCTTAAACAACTTGTATTTGGGTGTTAGTTTTGCCAAACATTTAGAATCACATCGCACTCAAATACCCCCGCAACAGCTTCAAGATATTTTTAAAAGGTGTCAAGAATTCTTAAGATCTTTCTGTGTAGTTAAAAACAAGACTACCATTTGATGACGATATTTTTGAAATGATGTTCTTCTTAGATCCCCAAACTAAGCATGTACAGCACATGCAGAATTTACACGTTTATTTAATGTTGCCTCAAAATTTCCAAACATTGTGTCCGAAAGTGACATTCAACTAATCGACAGTGAATTCAGGGAACTTAAACTTAACACTGAGGTTGCTAAATGCAGAACTAGCAGCAAAGCAGTAGCGAAGCTTCCATTAAAGCCGAAAAGCCGGGCTTGCCTTATTAAACTTGAATCAATTAATAATATCAACTAATAAAATAACTCTTAAAATGTTTCAAGCTATTTCAAATTTCCCGTGCACTCCACTGTTCGACACATGTCGACCGATGACCTCGTATTGCCTTAAGTATCTGATACACGATTTGAAACGATGGTTTGAAACAGAGATTTCAAACCGTGTAAATAGTGGTTTCAAACAAAATTTCGTTTGACCTTCAAATGTTCTTGGTAGCAAGGCTTGCGTTTCAAACCACTGGCAGAAGCGTTGGTTTGAAACTTATTTGAAACCGTCTAGCCGATTGTTTGAAACCACGTGAACGACAGTCACGCTGCAGCGGTGAGCGCAGACGCACGCGGCGACGTTTCGCGCACAAAATGGCACAAGAGCAAAGAGAATATGAAATGATCACGGAACTCCTGGAACTGTGTAGAGACTTGCCTTGTCTTTGGGACTTAACATACAAAGATTCTACTCAGAAAAACAATGCGTGGGATATTTTAGCCACAAAATTGAAAGAAATTGACCCATCGGCCAACGCCGCGTTATATACGGGAATCCAAGAAGGTAACTAACTTAACTACAAGTTAATTAAAATAGAAATTCCTATCAGTTTTGAATAAAAATGCAGTGAAATATTAGGTACATGTTATTGTACCTACCTACTTATTTTTCTATTTTCTGTTTTCAATAGTTACCTAACGTAAAACCAGAATTAATATTTTATTAGTATGAAAATATTTACTAATTGCCATAATTCTTCTTTATAATTTTTATATAATTCTTCAATTATAATTCTTCATTGGAACATACCTACCTACTACTTATGTTTCCTCGTTATGTAGTTTACCGACTCACTTTATTTTTTACGCTTTTCAGGTCTAAGAATCAAAAAACCGCACTGGATCGTCCACCAGTGACGTTCATAAGCCCAGTTTATGGTATTACGAGTTATTGACATTCTTGGAGAAAAAAATTATGTGAAAAGAAAGGGAATCAATTCACTCATGGGTGATGAGGAAGACGTAAGTGGTATTTGTTATTTGTATAATTATGTTACCGGCAATCTCTATAATTCAGTATTCTAAACAATACCTACCTCCCAAAACCGTTTAGGTAATGTATGAATTATTATTCATTTTACGTTTTGGCGCGATTGACCCAATTCGCCATTGAACCAATTCACAAATTCGCGATTGGCCCAATTCGCGATTGATGAGGTAGTTTTGAGTTTTATTTCATTCAAAAACATTGTATTTTGGGCCAATCGTGAATTAGGCCAATCGTGAATTTGTAATTTAGTCCAATGGCGTATCGGGCCAATCATGCCTAGGTCATCATCATCATCATTACAGCCCTTCACAAGTCCACTGCTGAACATAGGCCTCCCCAAGTAATGCCACAAAGCACGGTCCTGAGCCACCTGCATCCATCGACTTCCTGCATATCTTACCAGGTCGTCACTCCATCTAGTGGGGGGTCGCCCTACACTACGCCTACCGGTACGAGGCTGCCACTCGAGAACCTTTCTTCCCCATCGGTTATCGGTTCTTCGAGCTATATGGCCGGCCCATTGCCACTTCAGCTTACTAATCCGGTGGGCTATGTCGGTCACTCTGGTTTTACTGCGGATACCCTCATTTCTGAGTCTATCACGCAGTGAAACTCCGAGCATAGCCCTCTCCATAGCTCGCTGAGCGACCTTGAGCGTCCTCATAGGGCCAGCGGTGAAGGACCACGTCTCTGATCCGTAAGTCATCA